CAGCCTGGCACATCTCTCCATGATGTCAGGAGAGCAATGAGGTGGTCAGACCATGAGCGAAAGGAAGATTCGGGTCTGGGCCTGGCGGCAGTGCTAGCAGACTCAGAGCCCTGGGCCCATCCCCATGGGGAAAAAACAAACCAGACAATCCCACCACAGATGACCACGTTCTTTATTCTGGTCACGTCCTTCCTTCTTACCCCAGAGCTTTGTGGGTAGTGTGTGTGTGTGTGTGTGTGTGTGTGTGTGTGTGTGTGTACTGGGGCCTCCATACTTTTTTTTTTTCCTTTTTTTGGTATTATGGGGCTTGAACTCAGGGTCTGGGTGCTGTCCCCGAGCTCTTTCACTCAAGGCTAGCACTCTACCACTTTGAGCCACAGCGCCACTTCTGGCTTTTCCTGTTTATGTGGTGCTGAGGAATCCCATCCAGGTCTTCATGCCTGTTAGATGAGCCACCTTCCCAGCCCCCAGGGCCGTATACTCTTTCTTGGCTTTTGTTTTTATTTACTTTGCTCAGATCTAGTGCTCTACCGCTAGCCACATCTCCCTTGCGGTCACTGGCTTTCCTGCCCAGGCTGTCTCTGAAGCTCACTTGTCAGATCTCAGCCTTGGGAGTATCAGAGACAGTCTGGCAGGCTTTGCTTCTGTAGGCGCGACCTTCGCCTCAGGGCCTGACTGGCAGTCATTTCCTGTGGCAGGAATCTGCCCTGGGGTCTGGGAACCTGTAGGCCCCGTGTCCCCAGGTGACTCCTGGCTGCGGCTTGCCTGAGAACCTGGGCAGGAACAGTTGGGGGGCTGAAGGGAGGGAGGGTGGGCCGGCCCCCAGCCCAGGGCAGCCTGTGGCCGCTCGGCAGTGCAGACCAGGCTCCCGGGCTTGGATGGAGCAGGCTGAGAAGTGGCCACCGCAGGATGGAGGGGACTTGGGAGGAGACTCGGTCCCATGGGTAATGAGTTAGACCGGAGAAGCACTGGCCACCTTACAGATGCAGCTGTAACACTTCTGTATATTACCATGACGATGAAATTAAAAAGAAAAGAGACTCAGTCCTAGTGAAGTGCAGACAACAGGCAGAGCAGGTGCATGTCTGTAAAACACCTCAAGAGTTCCTCTGAGGACACCCACAATATAAAGGAAAGGTTTTCACAGCCCTGGGGCACCCCCAACCCAACAGCTCTGATTCATAACACCTGTTATTAGTGACCTTGGAGAGAGAGGCCTGGCTTAGCTCTCCAAGAAGCACTTTCTGTCTCCAAACATCATCTTTCCTCCACCAGGACCGGGAGCCGGTCCTCAAGCCTGCCCTGACCCTGGTCCCAGCCCGGACCCAGGGCCGGCCCAGCCTGGCCCTCCGTCTGCATGACAAAGGTGCACGGCTCTCTCTGTCTGCTGTAAAAGTCGCCCAATCCACATCATGCCTCTGGTGGCTGATGGCTAATTGCCCACTTACTTTATTTTCCAGCAGAGCGCTTGGCTGCTGGAATCCACATTCTGGAACGGGATGGGAGGCAGGGGTCTGAGATCTGTCCACTGTCTGGTCTCCTGCCTCCTTGCCCCTGCGTGACCTGACCCTGGCCTAGCGTGCCCGAGTGATGGATAAGCCAGCTGGCTTCAGGGAGCCAGACAAGACGGTGACAATAAGTAGTCTGACATCGAGGAAGCCACCGTGAAAACCTCGGGGCAGGGGAATGGCCTGGGTGGGTGACCTGTGGAGGGAGCAAGGGGAAGAGGCCATCTCCAGCAGCGAGCCCCTGTGAGTGCCATTCGCAGGCCCCTCTCCTAGGAGGAAAGGATCTCCCTCTTTCCCACTGTGGATTACCTGCATGGCTCCCAGTGATGCCCCCCCACCAAGACCCCCACACAGCACCAGGCTCCACAGAGTCCTATGCCAGGACCTTGGAGAGGCTGGATGCTGACTGGTGTTCTGGTTGGTTCTGGACGGGGCTGGTCCTGACCCAGAAGCACAGCAGGATATCTAGGAGAGCTGGACATCTGCAAGCCAGGACGCAGCAGCCCTGGACAGCGGGTGCAGTGCCTGGGTGTCAGTTCCACCCAGGCCGGGATAGCCACAGGGGTCAAGGGTGGGGGAAAATGGCGTGTTTATGGAACACGACCAGGCCAGAGAGCTTCCCGGCCCCAGGGTCCCAGGTCCTGGGTTGCCTGTGAATTGAGGCCTCTGCACCTTTTGGCCTGATTGAAGGCCCAAATGTTTGCATCAAGTAAATCCTTTCCTGCTAATCACTTGCAAAGAAAGCTGCACTTCCTTGAATAAGGCCATATTTTTCACCAAGAGGACAGTGTGGGCAGGATGCAGGGTGGAGGTTACATCTCTGGGGGTCTTCAAGCTAAGATGTGAGCTTCAGAATGGGATCTGTTTCTCTTGTCTGCGTGGCAGTGTTGGAGATGAACCAGGGCCCTCACACATGCCAGGCGGTACTGAGCTGAGCTCCGGCCCCCAGGAAGAGATGGAACTGTTCCCTGTAGATTGCAGCTTCCTTGGAAACAGGTGGGAAGGAAAGGAGGGCAGAGAAGCAGCTGGCTCAGGTCTGATCCCTGATTCCCCGTCCTGGGCCAGCCGCGTCCCGGTCTCTGCCTATGAACGCACATAGCTCAGTCCCGTGTCCTTTCAACAACCCGAACTCTGGCACCAGCCGGCTGTTGGAACTCAGGCAAGTCACGTAACAGTTTTATGTCTGGGTTTGTTTATAAAACGGACACAGGGACACCCTTCTTTCCAGGCACTGTGAGAAAGTGAACAATGCCAAGGGAGTGTGGTCCCAGCCCAGAAGGCTGAGGCAGGGGTGAGGAGAGTCAAGGCCCCCGGGGCCCAGGAGACTCCAGACGCAGGTCCCTGACTCAACAAGCAACCCGCAACATAAACGGCTTTAATGCGCAGATGAGTCTATTGGTGTGCACGTGTCTTACACGTCCTTATGCGCACCAATATGCACACATGTGTGCACACAGGTGCACTTACAGCCGCGCCTGCGGGCTTGAACTCTAGGATTGGGCGTTGTCCCTGAGCGCTGCCACTTTGTGCCACAGCCCACGTCATTTTCTGGTGGTTAATTGGCAATAAGACTCTCGCAGAGCCGGGCGCCGGTGGCTCACACCTGTAATCCTAGCTACTCAGGAGGCTGTCTGAGGATCACGGTTCAGAGCCAGCCCAGGCAGAAAAGTCCGTGAGACTCTTATCTCCAGATAACCACTAGAAAACTGGAAGTGGCACTGTGGCTCAAAACAAGATTATTTTCCCTCCTCTTCTATTTTTCTTTTTCATCGTGAGGCCTGAACTCTGGGCCTGGGCGCTGTCCCTCAGCTCTTCAGCTCAAGGCCAGAGCTCTACCACTTGAGCCACAGCGCCACTTCCAGCTTTTTCTGCTTATGTGTTGCCTAGTAATGGCACCTAGGGCTCTACCACTGAGCCACCTTCCCAGCCCCTCCTCCTGTAATTTTTTTTTTTGGGTCCAGTTGTGGGGCCTGAACTCTGGGCCTGGGCGCTGTCCCTCAGCTCTTCAGCTCAAGGCTAGTGCTCTACCACTTGAGCCACGGCGCCACTTCCGGCTTTTTTTTTCCCTTTTGCTTATGTGGTGCTGAGGAATCGAATCCAGGGCCTCATGCATGCAAGGCAAGCGCTCTACCACTGAGCCACCTTCCCAGCCCATCCTCCTCTAATTTTAAATCTACCCCCACTTACTATGAAACCCTTCTGTATACGTGCATATCCAATTTCCATGTGCAAATGGCTGTACATAAATGAGCGTATATGAATACCTATGTGGTGGAAGTTTAACACTCATCCAGGGGGAATTCTGCCCTTGAGCATCAGAAGGTTCTCTGACAGCAAAGATGATGGGAGAGGCTACTGCCGCAGGCCGGAGTGCGCCCTGGGGCAGGGGGGGCCGGAGTGCGCCCTGGGGCAGGGGGGCCCGGAGCCCCGACTTCCTCCCTCACCCTGCTGGCCTCGCCATCATTGTGGGAACACAGACCCGAGCTTGTGGAGCCGGGCCTCCTCCCAGGCCTCCTCCGGCACAGGGCGGATCCCTGGGCCTGGGGCCCGGACCCAGGGCTCCACGCCCCTCTCACCTGGAAGCCCTGAAGGGCTGTGGGGTCCCTGTTCCCAGCTTGGGCTGGTGTGGCAGGGAGACTTGGTTGCTGTTCTTGTTCATGTCAGTTTTAGAAAAGCCCCAGCCCTGAGAATGCGGAGTGAAGCCCAATGACAATGCTGGCAAGTCCTAGAGCTCAGGGATGGGTTGAATACCTGGATCACGCTCATTCAGTCTTCGCACCAATAACTTCAACTAGACCCCATCCTTGCCGCCCTCCTTCCCGTGCCAAAGGAGGCTGCAGGGCTGGGGAGTGGTCAGCAGGTCCAGCAGGACCGTGGTGGTTTGGACTAGGATGCGCTGGGGTCCCCCTTGACTGCACGCGCCTCTGGGCAGCGCTGGCCTCTGCTCGCCACGTCCTGCCCCTTGTTCTGTGTCTGAGTGCGACCAGTCCCTGCCAGCTCCGAGGGTACCCCTCAGGAAGAACGGCTGCCGGGAGCCGGCCCTGCCTGGCCGTGTGGTCTCCTGGGACCGGGCTGCCAGATTTCTCCCCTGACCTGTCTGGCTTCCTCTGCAGGGGCAGCCTGAGGGGGAGCAGGGGACCCGCCAGCGTGGGGGTGGACAGAGGCCCCGGCCACTAAGGAGACCCATGTCTGTGAAGTGGCCCGGGCGGCAGGAGGAGGAGGAGTCCCTGGGAGATGGAGAGGGGGAACATGGGGAAGTGCAAGAGGCAGGACCGTGCAGCCTGCGGCTGCCGGGCCAGCAGACAGCCCTTTGTGTGTCCTTCTAGACACCCCCCCCCCAACACACACAGGCCCGTCTGGTCCCAGAGCTCCCAGGGTGCGGTCTCCCCTCCCCCACCCCAGGCCTGCTATAAAGCTGGCCAGCCCCAGCCGGTGGCACACCTGGCCAGGCCCGGACCCTTCCCGCGGCCCCCCTTCCTCCTGGGTGGTGCCATGCGGCTCCTCTGGGCGCTCTGGGCGCTGTCCCTGGCCGGCCCCAGCACGGGCCTGACCGGGGAGCAGGTCCTGCACAGCCTGCTGGAGCAGCTGCAGCTGAGCCAGGCCCCGGTCCTGCCCGGGGCGGGCGCCCAGGGCGCGGCCATCCCCGCCCCCATGAGGGCCCAGTATGTGGCTTTGCTCCACCGCAGCCATGGGGGGCGCTCCCGGGAGAAGAGGCTCAGCCAGAGTTTCCGAGGTGAGTCCCCCGAGGGGCCCGGGCCCTGCCCTCCTGTGGGGCCACCAGGCTGGATGGGGTGTGTGCCTGCTGGACGGGGTGCCGGGCTGGACGGGGTGTGTGCCTGCTGGACAGGGTGCCGGGCTGGACGGGGTGTGTGCCTGCTGGACGGGGTGTGTGCCTGCTGGACGGGGTGCCGGGCTGGACGGGGTGTGTGCCTGCTGGACGGGGTGCCGGGCTGGACGGGGTGTGTGCCTGCTGGACGGGGTGCCAGGCTGGGCGAAGTGCCGGGGGTAGGGGGTCTGGACAGGGGATGTGCCAGGCTGGATGGAAATGTGCCAGGCTGGACGGGGTGTGTGCCTGCTGGACAGGGTGTGTGCCTGCTGGACGGGGTGCCGGGCTGGACGGGGTGTGTGCCTGCTGGACGGGGTGTGTGCCGGCTGGACGGGGTGTGTGCC